TTTGGAGCTATTCTGGAAATCATAGATGGCCACTTCCATGCAAAGCATCCTTTTATTTTCCCACATTCCTTCCAACACTGGGACCGAAATCTGGCCTGCCAGGGCCTTGCCTCTCAGATCAACTAAATGTCAAATTCAATGTCACACATTTAGCTCAGACAGACAAATGTAACTCGTCAGACAGACTAATGTAAGCACATGACTTGGCCACAGAGTTCTGTGTAGCTCTGGTCCAGCTGGCCCTCTGAGTCTGCTAGGCTTGGGGTTCACCTCTCACTAGCCCTTGGTGCTTGAAGGAGGCAGCATCTCTCAGGGGTCCCAGGAGGGGGCCCAGACCACTGCCGTATTTTTAGATTGCCAGTACATATATTTTATAAAATGAGGAAGTACCCAAACAAGGTTATAAAACTTGAGATCTGTTTCAAATATTTACAATGCAAAATTTACACCCTCCGCCTGAAAGTATAATACAATCTTATGGTGTAAATCTACAAAATCATTTCAGGATTTATAACAAATATTGATCCTGAACTCTTACCCAAAATGGCCCAATGGTAAGATAGATGCGAGTTTAGAGTTGAACAGCATGTATCTTTTTTGTGTGCTGTCACTGTGTGTCTCTGTGTCTGATTATCACTTATTGAGAGAGGAGGTCCGTGAAAATGAGACCCAAGCTGAGTGGCGAGGCCTGTCTGTTCTGATTCTCCAGGGAATGGCCAGGTACCTCTCCTAACCCTGGGCCGTGCTAAGTGTCTGCTCTGGCTCTAACCCCAGATCTGACTCTTACATCAAGCCTGCCTCAGAGTCCGCCAGCTTCTCCTCCTGGGCAAGTGCAATTTCTTTAATTCTGATGCAGAAGAACAGCCATCACCCTGCTCTGCCCTCCCTCCCCTGTCCCTGCTTCTAAGAAAGTCACCAGCTTCATCTCCTCCTAGAGCTCAAAAAATACCTCTTAAGTACAGTACTGGAAAGGGAGAGTAAGTTTACAATGGACAAATGCTACCCCTGCCACGTGGTCAACGTCAACACCAACAGTCACAGGTCATGTTGATAGTATATACCCTTGATATGTAATAAATCAACAGTCACAGGTCATGTTGATAGTATGTATTCTTGATATATAATGAAAACGGCACGTTACCTCTGTGATCTTCCTCCCCAAAAGCCCTAACCCCAACCTAATCATGAGAAAATATCAGACAAATTCTAACTGAGGAACATTCTAAATTTTTTTAATGTTTATTTATTTTTGAGATAGAGGGAGGGGCAGAGAGAGAGAGCGGCACAAAGAATCTGAAGCAGGTTCCAGTCTCTGAGCTGTCATCGCAGAGCCTGATGTGGGGTTCGAACTCACGAACCGTGAGATCATGACCTGAGCCAAAGTTGAACATGTAACCAACTGAGGCACCCAGACGCCCCTATTTGAGGAACACTCTACAAAATTCCTGACCGTACTCCTCAAAATTGTCAAGGTCATCAAAAACAAGGAAAGTCTAAGAAATTGTCATAGCCAAAAGGAGCCTAAGGAGACATGACAACTGAATGTAATGTGGCATCCTGGAACAGAAAAGGAACATTAGGTAAAAAAATAAAGAAAGAAAGAAATCTAAATAAACTATGTACTTTACTTAATGATAATGTATCTATATTGGTTCATTAATAGTGATGTATGTGCCATACTAATGCAGGAGGTCTATAATAGGAGAAACTGGACACAGGTTAAGAGGAATTCTCTGTACTATATCTGCACAACAGTTCTATAAATCTAAAAATATTCTAATATTTAATTTTTTTAATGTTCATTTATTTTTTTTAATTTTTTTTAACATTTATTTATTTTTGAGACAGAGAGAGACAGAGCATGAATGGGGGAGGGTCAGAGAGAGAGGGAGACACAGACTCCGAAACAGGCTCCAGGCTCTGAACTGTCAGCACAGAGCCTGACGCGGGGCTCGAACTCACGGACCGCGAGATCATGACCTGAGCCGAAGTCAGAGGCTCAACCGACTGAGCCACCCAGGGGCCCCAATGTTCATTTATTTTTGAAAGAGAGAGACAGAGTGCGAGCGGAGGAGGGACAGAGAGAGGAGGACACAGAATCTGAAGCAGGTTCTGTGATGCCCGAGGTCGCGAAACCCCCCACAAGAGACCACCAGAGTCGTAAGTCAAAGCCAAGCGGAAAGGGTCGTTTATTGCAGGTTCGAACCTGGACCTCCGCGCACTCGTTGCCAGTGACGCTAAGAGGCCCCGATCAGGGTTGGTACAGCGTTTTTATAGACAGAGACAAATAGCATAGGGGAGGTTTCAGATTATAAGGGGCCTGATTAGTTGATTTTAAAGTAAGGACATTTGTTGTTCTCTGCTTGGACGTCCTTTGTCTGTCTTTTGGCAGGAAGGCTTTGTCCGTTACTTGTGGCGGGAGAAAAAGGGGGAAGGGGGAAGGGAAGGAATGTGTTAAGCAAGCAAGATTACAGAAGCGAGAAAATGCTGGTTAGTAAGTATTTTTATAATCTTAGGGTATAGCAAACTAAGTCTAGAAAAATTTAACGGTGCTCACATCGAACAATAGGCAAGACATACAAAATTTTAAATCCATTCTCTACAGTTCCAGGCTGCGAGCTGTCAACAAAGAGGCCGACACAGGGCTCAAACCCACAAACTGTGAGATCATTACCTGAGCTGAAGTTGAACGCTTAACCGACTGAGCCACCCAGGTGCCCCAATCTAAAAATATTGTAAAATAAAAACTTATAAAATAAAAAGATTCATGAGTGAATGTCTCTGTTTCATCTTTACCCATTTCCAAAGTACAAACTACCAGGCTAACACAGAGGGTAATGCGGCAAGGTGGTTAAGAACATAGGCTTCGGCCTCAGATGCATGAGGTCTGAGGCCTGGCTCTGCCACTCACTGTTGATGTGTCTTTGGGGGAGTTACTGGACCCCTCCATGCTTCAGTTGCCTGCATAACAACAGGCAGGGAGCGATAACAATAGCATTTATTTCATGGATTTGTTGACAAAATTAGTATGTAAAGCTCTTAACCAGAGCCTAAATCAGAAAATATTTGCTGTGACGTTAATATTTTGTGTAGCCAAGAGATAACGTCTGGAAGGAGGGTTGCCCAACATGGGGAGAGCCATGTTGTTACAGGCCCTCCCACAGCCCTCAGATCACACCATGAAGAGTTGTCGTTGGGTCCCGAAAAGGATGGCGTCCAGGAGAGGAAGAGGAAGGGGGTGTCTGGAAGACCTCCCATAAGTGACCAAACTCAGGAGCCTCCTTGGAATGCGGGGGGAAGTACAGGGTGTTGCTGTGACTTCTACAAAGGCATCCTGGCCTCTGTGTTCATGACCCGGGGCACTGGTGAGTACAATGGCCGGAAGAGCTATTCACCGCCCAGCCCAGCGTCTGAGCCGTGCCTCCCTTGGTCCCTGAGAGAGGCTGTTCACCAAGTCCTGCTGAAGCAACCCCACCTCCGTCAGAAACACAGCACCCACCTCCCAAATAAACCACTGGGTAACCTGGGCCTCCAGCGCCCCCACCAGCCAGGCCTCAGCAAGGCCATCTGCAGAGTGGCCAGACCAGCACCGGTCTTGGCCTTGGGACAAGCCGGCTTCCTCTGAGCCTACCCCTCAGCATTTATGGAGCACCATCTGTGAGCAAGTCCCTAGGGGCACTGGCTTTCCCAACAGGTGGCACAGAGGCCTGTGCCAGGCCTGAACTGAAAGTCACAATAGTGGGTGTGAATTCTGCCGTGTCTCTTATTAGCTGGATGGCCTTCAGCAGGAAACTCAACTTCTCAGTGCCTCAGCTTTCTCCCTGTCACTGAGAGAAATCTCTCACAGCCTGGGAAAAAGCACAGGAAATCGTGTGGACGAGGGCACTTGGAGGGCCGCCCAGCACATGGCTTTCTTCCTCATGCAGCACCTGCTGAAAAAGACCTTTGTGATGAGGTTTTGGGGTGACAGTGGGGTTCGCGGGGTCCGGAGCCGATGGCCAAGAAAGTATTCTTGAAGCCATCTTTGGTGCAAAAAGGTGATTTTATTAAAGCACGGGGACAGTACCAGCGGACAGAAAGAGCTGCCCAGGGGACCATGAGGAGAGACTGGTTTTATCCTGCGGGGTTAGGGGTTAGGAGGCATAAAGTCCAGGGGTAGTTTCCAGGGAGATTTTCATATGCTAAAGAAGATTCCCAGGATAGTGGAGGCCTAGCTATTGTCAGGCTAACATTGTTTTTCCCTCTAGCAAAGCATTAGCATTCAGACCGTTGGGAGTTCCTGGAGAAACTTTTTACTCTGCCAGCCTCAAGTATTTGTCAATGGACTGCAGGTTATAAGAACATTTAGTTCTATCTGCCATTTCCTTCTGCCTTCTTTTCCCACATCACTATGGAGGGGTGATGGTGGGGCTCCAGGAGAAGGAGTCTATAGGTTTCTGGAGATTAAGCTATTGAGATTGCCTTTTTCTTGTGATTTACTAAGATATTTGTCAATAGATGGAGACTCGGGTCCCGTGGGACTATGATCTTGATCAGTTAACCATTTGTTTTTCCCCTTTTCTTTGTCCTTGGGCAGCCAGGAATATCACACTTATCTCACCTTGGGGGGGCAAGGGGGTGTGGCCTGTCAATTTGCCCACTGAGGCTTACAGGTGAGGACTAACCCCATTCAAATGATGAGGAACCTGGGCCCAGAAGGCTGAAAGGGATTCCTCCAAAGTTACCCCACAGGCTAGTGACAGAGGCCATGGTGTTATGCCCAGAATTCGTGATCCCCAAATACCACCAGGGAGCCGAGTCCGATGTAAAAACAAAAGAGCCTTTATTCGAGCTAGCTCGAGCTCAATCCCCTACTTGCACCGACGCAGCGGTGAAATACCGGGGAGAGAGAGCGAGTATCAAAAGGACAAAGGTTTTATTGGGGCCTAGGGGCACTTGGTGAGGTAATGGCTGTGGCCTCAGCCGATTGGCTGGGGAAGGGTCCGAGTCCTGTTGGGGGGGGGGGGTGGTTATTCAAGGGGAGGAGGCGTGGTCAAGGTGAAGGACACAGAACAAGATGGAGTTGGCCGGCGTAGGCCCGCCCTTTCAATGCAACCGGACGACTCAAGTGTCACCTCATCATCTCAAAGGGATGGAGCTTCACTGAGGTTTCTGACCTCAGCTGAGTTCAGCAACAGGATTCCCAAGTCTGTTCCTGGCGTATGGCTTGATCATTCGTCTCTCTGGGACTCCATTCTCCTCCTCTGTAGTTTGGACAGAATAAGCAGGAAGAACATTCAATTTGATTCAAACAGAGCTCTAGTTTTATTGACCACCTGCTTTGTGTGAGGCACTTTAGCGGTCTCTGTGGTATACAAAAAACAAAAAACACTCTAGTTCCTACCCACAAGGAGCGCATAAAAATAACAGTAATGAAAATCTGAAAACACCTTACAGTTTTTCTTTTTCTTACTTTTCCTTCAAAATAGGCAGGCGTTCCTGGCACTGTTTCACACACACAGACCTGCGATGGAAGGAGCTAGCCTAAGTGGGGAACTGTGATGTTCTCACCAAATCCCATTACACTTTCCACGAAGCACTGTCTCTAAAAAACTAGAATCTAAGACACAATTTGATGACATCTGCTGTTTCGTCTAGGGCTCTCTCAGCTGCAAGTGACCAAAGAAAAAAAGAAAAAGGCAGAAACCAAATACGAGCTCACAGAACTGAAAAGTCCAGCAGACGGGCTGAGCCGCTTCTGGTGTCGCCTGACCGAGGTTTACGCTACCACAAAACCCTGGTTCCTTTCCACGTCTCGGCTCGTCTTTGATCTGCTCCCTGAGCTGGTGTCTTCTCAGGCCACCTCCGATGGCAAAAATGGAGACAGTGGTTTCCATGTCCACGCTTCCAGATTCAAGCCTGTGGGGGAGGAGCCCCCACCTCTCTTCCAGAAAGTCTCATTGGCTCTGGTTGGAGCCCAGGCCCCTCCCAAGCCTGGAAGACAAACTGGTTTGGGCCAGTCGGGCTGACTCGTAGAGTGGGATCAATCCCACCCAAAGTATAAGTGCCAGAATGGGGAGCAGGGGTGGGGGGAAGGAAGGGGAGGTTCTTAAAGGGCGTGTGAGGTGCTTTTTTACCCAAAGGGTGAATGGATGCTCAGTGGCCTGAGATGCGCACGTGTGAAAATGAAAATGAATTAAACTCCGTCATCCACCTTGTCTTTGTCTCTGATTCAGTGGCTTTGTCTCTGGTTCTTTGAACAGCCTCCTGTTGGATAACAATTTTGCCCTATTGGTATCTAAACCACAGCCTCCAAGGGTACTTAAGTGTTTTCAAGATAGGAGAGGTTAAGCAAAAACTAAACAGTCCCAAATTTGGATTGGAAATAGATTTAACGGCTTATTGGGCAGCAATTGTGAACCGATATTTTCGGTCTTCCAAGCAGATCCTGGGGGTCCATCTTTCGCTTCCGCTCACCTCCCCCATCTACCCAGTAAGTCACCAAAACGTGACAGTTCTAATTCAGAAATGCTTCCCAGCTCTGGTCCCTCCTGTCCATCCCATCATCACTGGGTCAATGCCAGCCCATCGTCTCTCACCTGGACTTTATTTAAGTTTTTAAGTTTATTTTTATTCGTTTTGAGAGAGAGAGAGAGAGCACCAACAGGGGAGGGGCAGAGAGAGAGGGAGGCAGAGGATTTGAAGCGGGCTCTGCCAGAGCAAAGAGCCCGCTGTGGGGCTTGAACCCGCGAACCCAAGGTCATGACCTGAGCCAGTCAGATGCTTAACTGACTGAGCCACCCAGGTTCCCCCACTTACCTGGACTTTAAAAGTGTCTTAACTAGCATTCCTGGCTCCGTCCCTCCCCACCTGTCTACCTCCTCACCAGGGCTATTTTGCCCACCAAATGCTGACTAAGCCACACCCCTACTGCATCAGGCAGGCTGCTGGGGGGAAGCAGAGGAACTCTCAGAGGGGTTTTCTAAAGAGAGTTTAATGCAGGATTAAGTGAATGGACAGGGGTGGGGATGCCTCTGGGGATTAGCTGTGGGCAGCAGAAAGCCTCCCCCTCCCTAGGCCTGAGAGGCAGAGAGAAACCATGCTACTGAAGCCAAGGAAAGCCAGAGCTATGGCCACAGAGGGATGCAGCCACTGCTTGGAGTGTGACAAGGGAACCGGGGGATAAATACCCCAACCTATCTCTCTTCCTGTCCTCCAACCAGGGGGCCAGGGAGCCTGGGTGAAGCAGTGTTTGGAGAAGGTGAGAAGTGAGTGGATGGGCTAGCAGGAAGGAGAACAAAGAGAAAATAACCAGCGCACACACGAGGCCTAGATTCACTCCCTCTCACTCTCAGGAGCACGCCCAAGTTGGTGAGTCCAGGCCAGCAGGCACTCTGGCCACACCATCTCCCTACAACCTCTCACCACCTCCATGCCCACGTCCGTCACCCCAGATCTACATAGCCCTTTTGTGACTTCCCACCTTGCCAGGTGCTATGCTCTCTGCTTATATTACGCTTTCCCCGTTCCCCACCGTCTCCTCTTCCTTATATGTCAAACTCCTATTCATCCATCAAGTCCTTTCTCTGAGGGCACCTCCTTGATGCAGCCTTCACTAAGTCCCACACTCAGATCTCCTCTGCTCCCACAGCCACCTACATAGCCTCCATCAAAGCAGCTGTGACCTTATTCTGGGACAGTTTGCCTGTCTATCACCCTGTTCAGGTTGTGAGCTCCTTGAGGTTGGGGAACGAGTCTATTCACCTCTCCATCCTTGGCATAAACACAGTATCAGGCACATGGTCAGTCGATAAATAGTCATCGAATCTATGAATAAAAATAAAAGATGAGGAGAGGACTTTTATTTCTTTCTACTTCTCACCCCCACTCCTATTTTTTTGCTCCCACAACAGAGAAGCAGAGTGGGTCAGGAGTAAGAAAGAGAAAGAGGAATGCATACTCCAATATCCACCCAGGACTCTTCTCCAATCCGGTTCCAGGCTCTGCCTGACATAATATGGGCCAGCTTCTTCCTTAGCCCTTCTTTTACTGGACAAGTGCTAGGTGTGAATTGGGCAGACCTAAGGAAACAGCTTTGTCCACCAGGCCCTTGCCCTGCCCCTGGGACTTTCTGCAGTAGCAACTAACCCACCCAGGAGAGATCCCAATCAGCTGGCATGGTCAGGAGGGGGATTCTACTGCCTCTGCCATTATAAGCACATTTTATCAACACACGTCTGACTGAACCAGGGTGTAGGGGTAGAGGGCAGTCATGGCAAGACTCATTCTTTCCCCTTCTTACAGTGCTCATTCATTTACAATGTGTACCCAGTGCTCCAAAGGGCCAGGCACTGAGGACACGGCAGTGAATGAGCACAAAAGGTCCCTGGCTTCCTGGACCCACAGTCTAGAGGGGGAGATAGACACTGAACAAGTAATTGTTCCTATATTGTGATGGGACCGTAGAGAAGGGGGAGGAGGCAGTGGAGGGAAGGAGCAACCAAGAGAACAAATGGAATGAAAGAAAGGCAGAAGCAGAAGAATCCTCACAAACCAGCTCTTCTCTCTGTGAGTCTGAATTCCAGAAATCAAGGGACCCTGGCAGGAAGCGTTACCACCAGGAGAGGTATTATATCCATTTCCTGGGGCTGCCGGAACCTACTGCAGACTCGGGGGTAAACAATGAGAATGTATGGTCTCATGGCCCCAGGGGCCAGAGGTCTGAGACAAGGGGGACAGGGTTGGTTCCTGCTGAGGCTGTGAGGGACAGCATTTCATGCCTCTCCCCTACCTCTGTGGGTTTGCAGTCCCCCTTGTGGGTGTTCCTTGGCTTGTCAATGGTGTTCTCCCTGTCTTCACAATGTCTTCCCTTTGTCTGTGTCTCTTTCTCTTCACAGGGCCTTTGTGAGTGTGTGTGTGTGTGTGTGTGTGTGTGTGTGTGTGTGTGTGTGTAAAATATACATAACGAAACAATTTACCATTTCAACCATTTTGAAGCCTAAGAGTTCAGTGGCATGAAGCACATTCACAACATTGGGCAATCATCACCGCCATCCATCTCCAGAACTTCTGCATCTTCCCAAACTGAAACTCTGTCCCCATCCCCCATTACCCTAGCCCCTGGTAGCCACTGCTCTCTCTTCTGTCTTCAGGAGTTTGAGTATTCTAGGTACCTCAGAAGGGGAACCGTACAATATTTGTCCTTTTGTGCCTGGCTAATTGCATTTAGCATCACGTCTCCAAAATCCATCCCTGTCTGCGTGGCATTCTTTTTATAAGGACAGAATCATATTGGATTAGGGGCCCACTCTAGCCCAGTGTAATCTTATTTTAACTTGACTGATTATATCTGCAGTGACGTGATTTCCAGTTGCAGTCATATTCTGAGGTACACGGCGGTGGGGACCTCAACATATGAATTCGGGAGTGGGGGGCACGATTCAACCCAGAAAGACACTGACCAAAACAGAGATGGGAGGTACAGAAAAGGCGCCTCTGATGGGCAAAGTGGGAGGGGTGCGAGTTCTTGTTTTGTTGACCCCTAACCCCGCTGTATTCCTGACTGGGGCCACTTTCCTGGCTCATTTCCTCAACCTGGCTTACTCACTGCACAGGAAGGGACGGGCAGGAATGGCTGGCTGCTGAGCCAGGGACACCTCACCTCTGACTAGGCCTAGTCCCACACACCAGCCCTCCCCACTCTGTGTTCTGCCTGGACAGTGGGTGGCCACTTAGCCCTCAGAGGGAGGCCAAGCAGGCCCCTTTCTCTCTTGACGAGGTCCTTATCCAGGGGCCCAGCTGTCCCGGCTGAGAAGCATCCACTGCAAGCCACATCCATCCACATATATGAAGCACTCCCTTTTCAACAGCTATGTACTAACACCCACTGAAGGCCTGGTCTAGGCCCCAGAGATAGAGCAGCAAATAAAAGGACTGCCATTGTCCCTGTGAAGTTTACATTCAAGTGGAAGGAGACAGGCAAAACAAACCAATGTGCTTCAGGTGGTGATTAAGGGTGATGGAGGAACAAAGCAGGGGAGGAGGACAGGGAATGGGTGACTGAGCTGGGCTGGGCTGGGTTGTGTCACTGGTAAAGCTGAGAAGCTATCCAATAGGGGTGCTTCAGAGCAGAGGCCCAGAAGAAGGAGGGATTCTGGTGAAACACTGAGTGCCCAGGCCAAAGGGGGAGTGTGCCTGTTGATTTCAGGAACAGTGGAGAGTCCAGGGTGTATGTGTTGGGAAAGGTGCACCATATACTGCGGGCCCTAAGGAATTGGGCTTCACCCTGAGGACCTGAGGATACAAAAGGAAGGCGAACAAAATGTCCCATGCCCTCAGGGAACTTCCAGTCTCAGTTTGGGAGCAGAGCAAGCCCCAGAGGTGGAATTCATGCTAAATATGTGGAACCCAGCTTGCCTCAAGAGAGAGGAACCTGGACTGCCAGGCTTGGGGAAACACTGCATGTCTCAATTTAGAAGCCTGGTTTTCTGTGTCAATGTTAGTTTAAGACTCTTTGTTCCAACGGCGGTTGTTTGTTTGTTCATCTTAAATTTAAATTGGGAGGGAAAGCACAGTAATTTCTGGGTTAACCACTTTTGCCTCGGAAAGCTGGCTAATCCAGCCACAGCCATCCCCCCACCCGCCACAGAAGGCAGGACACAGTGTGTGTGTGTGTGTGTGTGTGTGTGTGTGTGTGTGTACGCATGCGTGTGCATGCACAGGACGGTATATAACACCCTCCCCAGCTGGCCTCTTGGGGCCAGGAAGGAAATGATGTCTCCCTCTCACCATCTTCCCTTGACCCCTCCAGCTTCTGGTTTTCCTGGGACTGTTCCTCTCTGCTGGAGGGAGGGACAGGGCAGGTACAGGAATTGAGGAAGAAGCTGGGGAGACACTTTTGAGGATGTATATGGCAGAAACAGATGTGTACAAGTAAACAAGGTGACTGGGAGAAGTGTGGGCACAGCCCCTGTAAGTGTTGTGACCAGAGTGCATTCTTGTGACTCTACAAATTTGGGAAAACAACTTGCAGATCTGGACAAGTTAACAAAGAGAGGGGTGCAGAGGGATGGACCAGGGCCAGAGCTAAAAATAAGGAAGTATTTCCATGCCGAGTAAAAGCATTAGCATCTGTGGGATTGTGTGGCAGGGAGAGGAGTTTTAGCCCATCATCAGGCACAGTGAGGCCAGAGAAGCAGGGGAGAGCTGGGGGGGGGGGGGGGGGGCTCCATCTTCAGCAGTGAGAGGACAGTGCTTCCCCAAACCCCAAAGAGGACAAGGCTGTTCCTGCCTGGAAGCCAAGCAGAGATAAGGCCCAAGGTGGGGCGGGGAAGGGTTGACAGCAAAGACTATCCCGTAGCAGAAGATTCCAAGTGGTTATGGATCCCTGGAGGCCGGCTCTAGGTCAGGGCCCTGTACTCCCCAGTAGCCAGAGGGGGCGGGGCAGACTTCAAACCTCCTCCCCAAGGAGCAGTTAAGGTGTGGCCTGGAGTGGGAGAGAACGGAAGCTGAATTTACTGTGTGGGGGATATTTTCCATAGGGTCCCACAAGGATGCTGAAACATAGATATTTTTGTTCCTTTTCTACAGATGATGGAAACAGAAAAGGCTCACATAATCCCAGGGCCATTCAGCAAATAAGTGCCCCCATCCCTGCCCCCAGCCTAGGACACTCCTTCTCCCACTCCACACTCATCTAAAAAGCAGAAGGAGGGGCGCCTGGGTGGCGCAGTCGGTTAAGCGTCCGACTTCAGCCAGGTCACGATCTCGCGGTCCGTGAGTTCGAGCCCCGCGTCAGGCTCTGGGCTGATGGCTCAGAGCCTGGAGCCTGTTTCCGATTCTGTGTCTCCCTCTCTCTGCCCCTCCCCCGTTCATGCTCTGTCTCTCTCTGTCCCAAAAATAAATAAACATTGAAAAAAAAATAAAAAATAAAAAAAATAAAAATAAAAAGCAGAAGGATTGCCGTGTGGAAGGGAAAGCAAACTCATTCCATGTGGTGGCCAGAAGGCAGAACATGGACAGGGGTCACAGGGAGGGTGAAAACCTTTCCAATAACCACAAAGACCCATAGGAGACTGCCAGCCCAAGCAGGAGGTGAGCTCGCACAGGTACGGAGAGGGATCCTGGAGGTCCCCATCACTCAGAGAAGCTACGCCATGTGGGAGCAGCATGGGAGCCTGCCAGGATCCACTGGCCCTTGACACGCCCTTCGTGTGGGAAGGAGGGAGCCTCAACTTGGGAAAAAATAGGAGATCAGTGATGGCCACCCTCTCTCAGATGCTGCTTTGGAGCTATCCCTGGAGCACCCAGGGAAAGATCCTTGTTATGGTAATTATGTTAATAGTATTACTAACAGCTGGCCTTTTTGTTTAAATTAATTTATTATTATTATTTTTTTTTTTTTTTAATTTACATCCAAGTTAGTTAGCATATAGTGCAATAATGATTTCAGGAGTAGATTCCAGTGGCTCATCCCCTATGTATAACACCCAGTGCTCATCCCAACAAGTGTCTTCCTTAATGCCCCTTACCCATTTAGCCCATCCCCCAACCCAACCTCTCCAGCAAGCCTGTTTGTTCTCTGTATTTAAAAGTCTCGGGGCGCCTGGGTGGCTCAGTCGGTTGAGCATCGGACTTCAGCTCAGGTCATGATCTCACGGTTTGTGGGTTTGAGCCCCGCATCAGGCTCTGTGCCGATGACTCAGGGCCTGGAGCCTGCTTTGGATTCTGTGTCTCCCTCTGTTTTTGCTCCTTCCCTGCTCACACTCTGTTTCTCTCTCAAAAATGAATAAAGATTAAAAATTTAAAAAAATAAATAAATAAGGCTCTTATGTTTTGTCCTCCTCCTTATTTTTATATTACTTTTGCTTCCTTTCCCTTATGTTCATCTGTTTTGTATCTTAAAGTCCTCATATGAGTGAAGTCATATGATATCTGTCTTTCTCTGACTGACTAATCTTGGCATAATACCTTCTAGTTCCATCTACATAGTTGCAAATGGCAAGATTTCATTCTTTTTGACTGCCAAGTAATATTCCATTGTACCCACTGTGTGAATATATATACATGTATATATATACATGTGTATATGTATATATATATACGTGTGTATATATGTGTATATACATATACGTATGTGATATATATACATATCACATATGTATGTCATATATATATATATATATATATATATATATATATCACATCGTCTTTATCCATTCTTCCATCTCGATGGACATTACGGCTCTTTCCATACTTTGACAGCTGTCCTTTTATGTGCATTTACTATTGTCAGGCACTGTGCTCATTGTTTGCATGGGCTGTATGATTTAACCCTCCAAACAACCCTATGAGACAGGTGCTTTTATTACTCCCTTTTTTACAGATAAGCAGACAGTCTCAGAGACATGATGTAACTTGCCTGAAACCGCACAGCTTGTATGCGGCAAAGCTGAGACTCCAGCCCAGATCTGTCAGACTTCAGAGCCAGTGTATATAACCTGGGAAACCAGTGCTGCACAATCTCTATTCTGATACAGAAGTATCTCCAAGATGGAAGGCAGCACCTTTCCATTGCTGCTGTAACAAATTACCATAAACTTAAACACACATTTATCATACTGCCTTTCTAGAGCTCAGAAGTCTGACACGTGGCTCTCATCGCGCTAAAACCAGGTGCCCGCAGGGCTGTGTTCCTAGTTCCGGAGGCTTTAGGGAAGAAAAATTCGTTTCTTGGCCTTTTCCAGCTGCTAGAGACTGTCCTCATTCCTTGGCTTGTGGCTCCTTTCCTCTAGCTTTCAAGCCAGCACTGTCCTGTCTTTCTGACCTTTTATCACCTCTCCCTCTAACCATAGCCAGGACCACAACACTGATTTTAAGGATACATGTGCTGAGACTGGGTCCATCTGTATAATTCAGGATAATCGTCCGTATCTTAATCATATCTGCAAAGTCCCCTTTGCCATGTAAAGTAACATATGCACAGGTTCTAGGGACTAGAATGTGGACATTTGGGGGAGGCATTATTCTGCCCACTGCACATAATCAAGATGGAAAAAGGCAAATGCACCAGTAGCAAAAGGTGCTAAAAAATGGTGGGGAAAGGGAGTGAGGAATAATATGTATTAGTATTTGCATAAAGAACCTCGCATAGAAACCAGCACTGGTTGCTGGGAGGGGGGGTAGACTGATAGGGGATAGGAGGTTGGATGAAGATTTGTCATTATGGAAGTGTTCAAATACACACAAAAGTACAGAGAGTAGTATAATGAATCCCATGTACCTTCACCGTGCATCAACAATGACCACCATTTTGCCATTTGTATTTCTTTTGCCTCCCCACTTTTCGGGAAGGGGCTGAGAAGTTTAAAGAAAGTCCCAGACACCAGATCATTCTAGGCTTAAAAACTTCAGGATGAATCTCTAAGAGATAGGGTGTTTCAAAAATATACCACAATACCATCATCCACTTAAAAAATGACAGTATTTCCTTAACATCATCTGATTCATAGTCAATATTTAAATTTCCTTAATTGCCTAAAAAAATCTTTTAAATAATTGATCTGGTTCAATAAGGATCCCAACCAGGCCCATATGTTGCCTAAGGTTGATATGACTCCTAAATCCTAATCTAGAACAATTTCTAAGAGGGACACTTCTCCCTCTCCACTCTTATATCTTTCTTTTTCAATCATCTAAATGTTAAACTTCAGATGTTAAATCACCTCAAGTTAAATTTAGAGGAAAATACACCCCTCATGCTTCATGGAAAGTTAGCCTCCCAAACATCCCCAAAAGGTGGTAGGTGAGAGATAGCACCCCACGCAATGGCGACTTGGGGGTGAGAGGATGGGGGGGGGGCGGTGCCAAAAGTCCACCAAAGCCCCAGGTGGTACACGGAGTCAGGGAACCCAGGGGTCTGGCATCCTGGGGGCTTTCCTGGACTGTTGGGCAGAGGTGGGTTGATGGGTGTTGGGGACACCAGCCACAACATAGCCTGGAGTAACCTGAGGAAAGTCCCCAAAGCCAAGGATGATACAATCACTTTAAATATGCACGGAGGTGAGAACCCACAGGAAGCCCACCATCCACCACACTGTGCCAAGTGTTATACCGAGGCATACCCAGATTGGACAACCGAGGACAGCAGAGACAGGCCACGCATGAAGGATCCAGGCAGCCAGCTGATGAAACTGGAACTCAGAGACTTGGGTTCAGGTTCCCCCTCTGCCACCGGCCAACTATGCTGTCCTATGAAAGTCACCTGTGGACCTTGAGTAACCACGGCTGGGAGAAGGGGGAATGAATAGTAATATGCATTAGTATTTGTTTGCATTTGTGTAAAGAAGGATATATAAAACCCAAGTGAGAGTCAAATGAGATCCTGGGCATGGAAAGGGGAGTGGCATTTTCCCCCACTCAGTATTGTGAAGGGCCAGATACCCAAATCCCACTCCTACCAAGTTCCCCACATTATTTTTGACTCAAAAAAAAGGTTACTGCAGGATGAATAAGAATTTGCTGTGAGCAGGAAAGTTACTGTGAGAAAGAAAATGGCAGGCTCCAAGGCAAACAGGCCAGCATGAGCCCAGTGAATTCAGAGAATTAAAAGAAATGCAAGATACTAAATCACTGTGAGATCTTGGATTGGATACTGGAACAGGAAATGGACATGAGTGGAAAAACTGATGAAATCCGAATAAAATCTGTTCAGTTAATAGTACTGTACCAGTGTTAACTTCTTAGTTTGGACAAACATCCCATGGTAACATAAGATGTTAACATTAGGGGGAAGCTGTACTATTTTTACAACTTTTCTGTAACCCTAGAGTTATTCCGGACTTTAAAAGGCTATCAAGAAAGAGAGTAAGAAAAAAAGAAAAGTAGAGCAAAATGTCTAGAGCACATCAGGTTCTAGAAGTGGGGAAATGGGTGACAGACATCAGCATAGGCCAGATAACCTCCTGCATTGTGCAGGGGGGTCCAGACTTTATCGATCTTCAGGCAATGACCCTGTGGCAATATTCTCCCTCTCGCAAACCTTCTCACAGGCCCCAGGCAGACAGTAGTGACAGCTTCTTACCCCTAGGCTTACCTTAAGTGTATTACACCTGCCCATATCTGCCCGAACCCACACACACTAGGGTCCCAGGTCTTACACACACACACATACACACATACACACACACACACACACACACACACACACACACACACACACAC